TATTTTTTAAATATTATATAATTATTAAAAATTTATTTTTTAAAAATTTTAATTTATGTGTATTTTTTAAATAGTGATAGATTATTTTAAAAAAATTTAATTTTAATATAAATTTATTTAAATATATTTTAAATTATTAATTTTAAATTTAACGAAAATAATAAAAATTTAAATTTTATTCACGCAAAAAAAAAATGCAATTATAATTTAATTAATTAATTATATTTATGATAAAATTATTATGATAATGATTAAAAAAAGTATTTTAAATTGGTCAACCACAAAGCTTGTTTCCTTTTTCTTATTTTAGGAAACAAACAAATCAAAACTGTTAGTTACCAGCTTCAACGGTCAATCATTTTCCCGGACGCCCCGACACGGTCTCTCTGGTAATTTTCTCTTCTCTGTATTTTCTTTCACCTTGTCTTCTTTTTTTTCTCTGAAACTCTCACTTTATTTATTTATTTATTCTTTAAATTTGAATTTCTCGATGTGTTTTTAGTTTTGAATTTTCCTCTCTTCGGATCCTCCATCGAGCTCCAGTGCAGGTAGTCATTTTCATTTTCCCTCTAATGTGTTTTCGCTATTTGATCTTTGTTGATGGATGTAATCTCTGTGAAATTCATAACCTGTAACATTCGTCTGCCGTTTTCTTTTTCTGGAAATTATGTAGATCGATTCGCGATTTGGGAACGCATTTGTTTCATTTGCTTTTGTTTACAAGTTGTTGAGTCAATGAGCTTAAATTGAAATTAGGTTTCTCACATCAAGAGGTTAGGTGGTTGATTTCGGCTTTACTGAGAAAAGTATATTATTGTTGGTTGTTTTTGGCATTATATTAGATGGTTGGTTGGTCACAGCTTTTGCAATCATTTATTTTCAATATGATTTGTACTTGTCAATTTGTCTTCTTTCATTGCTTTTATGGCTATGACATGGCGTCATTACGTTTATTTTTATTCAACCTGTTCCCCACTGCGTTGAATTTTTTGTTTTTGCTTTTTTGATCCATTAATGAGAATCTGGTAATTTGTATGGTGTTTGCTTATCTTTTCTGATTTTCTGATTTATTTAGTTTCTTACCTTTGACTTTGATCTAAAATTTTTACTGTTCTTTCTTAACGTTTCCGTTTTTCTGCTCATTTTATTGCTTAGATGTATTTCTATATGTATGTGTGTATAAATATGTTATAGCTCATCAATTACTCATTTTCTATTGGTGGAACACAGAACATTATGCTGAACTGGGGAACTTTGCGCAGGGAGGATCCAAAGTTCTACATTCTGGATCAACTAAAGCTTTTGTTCTTCCTTCCAGTTTTGAGTTTTATGTTCTTATAGTGAGAATCAAGTGGAAATGGCTTCCAATGGGACTTCATATGTTAAAGTACAGAGGAAGGGATTTGCAGCAATTCTAAAATCTGCAGCTTGTGAATGGTTCTTGATATTTTTGTTGCTCATTGATGCTGTATTCTCGTATCTTGCAACAAAATTTGCACGTTACTGTGATTTGCAAATACCTTGCGTCTTGTGTTCCAGAATTGACCATTCTTGGGGCAAAGAGAAACCTGATTTTTACCGGAAACTGTTTTGCAGTGACCACACATCCGAAATTTCAACTCTACTTTCTTGTCAGGTTCACAGTAAGCTTGCTGATGGCCGTGGTATGTGCGACAATTGTCTCTTGTCATTCAGCACCAATAATAAACCAAACCCCGATATGCACAGGTTGTTCCTGGGTAAGATTGGGGTCGATATTTGTGGCTGCGGACCTCATGG